ATATTGAAAGAATTAATAAATAAGTCAAAAGCATGACTCTTCAGGTTTTGTTGGTAACCATTCTTTGCCGCCTTAATGCATTTCATCCATCAATTCTCACTACACAAATTACTTTGGAAGAAACCGCTCTTTAAGTGTCCAGGTCAACCTCAATGCTTAATTCTAACACAGATCCTAGGAATCTATCTGATGGAATTTACCACAATTTATATTTCTGAAAGTTTGTATCATTCTTTGCCTACTTCTGTTGACCTAAGTATGTGGCACATTCCACGAGGGCAGGGAAGATACCCACATTGTTGACCTCTATCTTTACTTCTACCCTACTTGCTACCATGAAGTGAAGTGCTAATTTGTTGAACAAGGATACTTTTACCTTCCGGCTACGATGAACTCGTTTGCATTCATAACTTTATTTCACTTGCTTACATCCTTAATTCCAGCACTTTCTAAACAGCCTTATGCTGAGTCCTTAACTGCAGACTGAACATCTGTGCAAAGATGGTCCACCAGGATCATGAAGCCAAGTAAGTGTCTCCACCCTCAAGCATGCTTTTGCTCTTTTCTTTGCTACAGTTTATCAGATCACTTCTGCTGGGTCTCAAAACCTAGGCACATTTTTATTCTTACTTTATTTTCACTTTCCTTACTTACTTTGAAGCAGTCTCATCTGCCTGCGATGTATGACACTAATTCTCATTCTTCATCCTACTTCTGAGGATGTTTTCCTAAGTAAATCAGACCACAAATCTAGAAACAGTTTCAAAACATCTAAAAACAATACCTTTAATATTCCATTGTTTGTATTTCCAATGTTTTAGCTTCTTAACTTTTTCTCCCTTGCACTTCCCTCCAGCATTATTTCAGCATGTTTTCTAATTCCTGAATATGCTTTTTCTCTCTAGATGTAAGCATTCACTCTTTCTATTTTTTATTATTAAATGGTCCCTAGTATTCAATGTTTAATTAACTGATATGATTTATGAAGTCTCAGATCCTTAAGGTGAGTTTTAACTTCTCTGCTTTGAAAATGTAATTTGTCTTTAAGAGAGACAACCTGGGGACTGGAGACAGAAACTGCATGTTGTAGTCCATTGAGTGTTTCTTAAGGCTAAGAAAGGTATAAGAAAGAGATGAACTCAGTCATAAATTGATAAATTTTAATCCAGGGGTAGGATAGATTATAATTTTGGAAGGGATTTTTTGGTGTTTTGATTCAACTAAATCACCTTAAGCTATTAATATATAAGATTGGAAAATTAAATTTTTTATTTAACTCAAAAAATAGAAAAAATGTTCCAGATATTTGACATCTCTCAACAACAGCAGCAACAAAATTAAAAGCAAGCCTACTGTCTGTCAGTAAAGATTAAAGAAAAATCTTATACTATTACCCTGTTTTGGCATAGTTATAATCACTATAGTGAAAAGAAAGTTGCATTATCCTGGAGAGAAATATGATTAAAAGTTAATTTTGGTATAATTAATGGCAAAAAAGTATTGAATTTAACCCAAAGAAAGTTTTTTTTTTAAGGAAATGTTGTAGTTGAACAAATAACATTATGTCTTCAAAAACAATGTTATTGGCTTAATACTAAAATTATGCTTGACTTTTAATCCCTGCACAGATTTTAGTGGGTTTCAAAGCTGGCCAGTGTGTTAAAATCTATGTAATAAGACCATAGAACTCAATGAAGAGAGAAGACCTTTCTAAAGGACTAAGAGTCACAGAGGCAATAATGGATAATCAATAAATGTTGGGGTTGGGGGAGTATTTTTATTGTTATTGTTGTTGTTTGATGGTAGAAACCAAAACTAGTGTCCTAACAAATAAATCGATTTTTGTAATTTCTGTTCAGCAGTGTTTCATTACGGATATCAAAGTATAACATACTCAACTTTGATATATTTTCTTTCTCAGTGGTAAAGCCCTTTTGCATATATCATCTACTTCCTGTGCTTAGTGACTGTGACTTCATGGATAAAGAAGCATGAGCCTGGCAACTTCATGAACAGAGACCAGAAAATGAATTTGCAAACTCTTCTTTTATCTGAGAACAAGTGAGAAACAGAGTTCATTTAGTGTCTTGAGGGAAGTAATTTTTTGCTTTCAATTAAATCATTTAAGAGCTAAGTACTTACGATTATTGTGAAGTAGAATAGCTAGCCATGGAGGAGACCATTTTAATAACAAAAGGAACCAGTTTGAGACAATAACAGTGATGAGGGGTCTGTCTCAGAAAATTTGTGTTGGACTTCATTGAATGAAATAGCCTGGTGCCTAATCTGGAAGTAGGTTTCTGTACTGAGCAGCAGGAAGTTCTTAAACCAGAAATAAGAAATGCCTTGATTGTTACAAGACCACTTTTTCAGGGAATAGGTTTTGAAATTCCTAGACATGCCTTTGACATTTATAGGAAACACAGCCTCTTCCACATGCTGACATGTTAATAACTATTCAAGAACTACGCCTGTAATTTTCCCCAATCTAAAAATGAGATCAGTGTTTTCATATACTTAGTAAGCCACATGCTATTACTTTGATTCTATTTCTTTTAGATTTTCTAGGGCTTAAGTGGACAAACCTAGTCTCAGCTGCACTTTCAGGATAGAGAAATCATTATGAACTACAGTTTGGACCCAAACACTAAAACAAGGACATATCAAGAGTCACACACTGCCACAAGTTCAAAGAAGTAAAGAAATGGAACTAACTACTATATTATGAGAATGGATAAAAGGATTGATGTCTGTGGTTTTTTCTCCATGAGGAAATTCTTCTTACTTTTCCAACAGAGACAATCTCTAATGTATTTCATTTGAAGACATATCAACTTCTCTTACCAATCATAAAGCCAACCTTATGATCCTGGCTGTTAGTCCTACTTGTTTTCCTGGTCTGACTTGGATAGCAATTTATTACCAAAAGAAAATTTGGGAAATAGAGATTTCTTATATAAGAAGTTTCTGTTTAAATTAACTATTTGGATTTGGCTTCAAAGGGTGATAACTCGTTCCGGATATTTTTCTTAAATTAAATGTAACCATAGGAAAGCTTTTGTCATCAAACAAAATTCAGATCCTTCATGCTCATAGACGAAAGAGAATCTCAGTGTTGACAGGTTCCATTCAAAAGATCGACCATCTCTTCTTCTTTCCCTGAAGCTGTTAGATGTGAACTGTTGAGGAGGTCCTGTGTTAGATGCTACACTTCAAATATAGTCATTTAAAGAAGCTTTGTTTGGAAAATAACTATTTACAGAGGCATTTTAAGGTGCACCATAAAAGAAAGTATAATTAGGGCTAGTAGCATCCACTATTACCATCCTATGACCAAGAAGAAAAAATAATTAAATAAAAACTATAATTCAGAGAAACACAAGTTACTCTTCCTCCCAACAATATTAAGAAATATTGAGGAAAACAGGGAGCTTTAGTGGTAATGATATAACCTTGTAGAGAGAAGAAGACGAGGAAATAAATATCAGACATCATTTGCATTCCTTTTAATATCATAAAAGGATGTGCTAAGATCAAAGTCAGTATAAGGAAACAGTACAATGTGATCTGAACAGGTGAACAGGGTAAGGAACAACTGAAAACTGAACTGTAGGGAATGAGTGAAAGCCATGGAGCACATTTTCTTGTACACAGTAGTATTCATCCCTGTATGGTAACTTATTTTTTTCTGTTACTGATACAGATAGCACAAGATGGACTCATAAATCTCTTTACTGAGTCCAGTATTCCAAAAATGAAATGCCTTTTAACCAATAGATTAGTTACTTCATCATTGGGAGGGAGAGTAACTTGAAATGGACAGTGATACTGAGCTATTTCTGCAAACAACCCCTAATTCAAAAGGAATGCAGTCTTCCTATGTAAAGGGCATGGTGGTGGGTTGACAACTGATGATAACCGGCTGAAGTGAGTCAGTGTGGTTCTGGGTGTGGAGGGCCCACCTGAGTATTATGCCAACAACATTGAAATAACTGGAGAGAAAGAGTGGTGCTGCTGGTTCTCCTGGAGGAGCTTGTCACCATTCTTCTCATTATTAGAAGAGCTCAGGACCTTCCTGCCACTGAGAATGGCTATGGTTCACTTTGGAGGAGCTCTGGTGCTTACTTTGAGTGTTGCTTCTGGGCTCCAGGGCAGATCCTTCAACCTGCTAGCACAGAACAATCATGCCACCAGTGCACGCTTTCTAGCTTCCACCATGGACCTTTGGGCCTTCACAGCACAGATCCATGAAACAGAATTGCATGAGATATTGTCATGGCTCTAGGCCTCCAGTTGGCTCATATAGGACATCATCATGGGATCCAGGCCATCAGCTGGATCTTTTGAGTCCTTAGTTGTGTGGACAGATTTCCTGAACTCTTTTTGTATTTGACTCATTTGTGATTATTATGCAATATCCTTTAAGTTATATGTCCTGTATTAAATAGTTTCCTTTGCAGACACTGACTACAGCAGGCACAAAGAAATTAGAGAGACAAGAATCATTCTACTTATAAAACCTACAGATGTTGGTATTCATAATTTCTTCAAGACAGAAATTCCCAGGCACGCGACACACTCATAACAGCTTTGTTTTGTAATTTTCAAAGAGCACCACTGTTAATATCAGAAATATATTTGTTTCCTACTCAGTAAAAAGACTTTGAGCTCAACCTCAGGCTATTCATCATGGATTTACAAAACTGAAACTCAAAGTTTTCAGTTCTTCTAAAGTTCACCATCCTGATGATCATAGTATCCATTAGTTTGTGAGTTCTCAGGAACCAGAAATACCCATGTAATATAAACTGAGATTTTTCTTTATTTTGTTATCTGTTGTTACTCAATAAAATTTACATTTTCAAATGCATGTGTTTTAAACACAAAGGGACTATGTCTACTATACATAGTTGAGTAAAATTAGGCCTCCAAAATTATTTTTTTATTCTTAAAAAAAAAAAAAAAAAAAAAAAAAAAAAAAAAAAAAAAAACTAAAGCCCAGTGTATGATGACACCTCAGTAATGCTGTTTATTCCTGACCAAGCTGTGGGGAAGCCAAGCTTGGAAAGCTGAGTGTGTCAAAATTAATTAATTAAAAGATTTCTCTTATACAAAGAAATTAGATAGTATATAATTATGCTATCACACTTTTAAGCACATTGATATGTTATTAAGTATGCCACAGATTTCATGGGCAATGTCATAATTAGTGAACAATAAATGTTAACACCAAAGACGAATGTCAGTTTGACAATATGAGAAATACTATAAAGTAAATCCAATGTCAAATAGCAAAAGGCAAAAGAAAATTTACAAAAGTATAGCTAGCACATTTTAATATACCAAAAGAACTTATAGATAAATGAAAATTATTAAAAACATGTACTCGGCAGGTGCACCGCCACCGCGCTGCTGCAGGTACGGGGGCACCTACGTGCCGGGAAGCTTCTGTGTGTGCCCCGCTCACTTCACCGACCACTACTGTGAGCACGACCAGAGGCGCAGACCTGAAAGACCTGGCCTCACAAGCCAATGAACAAAGTGCATGCAGTATGTGGAGTGCTCTCCTGCTGCCCTGCATCATCCTGCAGTGGTTTATCCATCCATGAAGGGGAAGACAGAAGTGGATAGAAATGCCCTACTGAGGCTATGAAGACTAAACTGATTCCACACAGTGCCACACCGCAGAGCTGGGCTGAGCCACAGGTTCCCATTCCGGCGTTGTACCACCTTCTCTCACCCAAAGACTACACTGAAGTTGCCCGCCGGGAAGAGTGAGTTAGGCTGAGCCATGGGACCCTGTTCCAGTCTTGCAGACCGCCCTCTCTCACTCAAAGGCCACACTGCAGCTGCCTACCAGGAAAAGGGAGCTGCACCAAGCTGCAGGAAACTGCTCCGACCTTACCTGCGACCTTCTTTCAGCCTGGAGAGCACCAGCAGTACTGCCACCACCTGGAGAAGGGAGGAGGTTTGAGGCCTTCCTAGGACATAGGGGGACCCTCTATCAGCCTGAAGAGCTTTGCCATCCAAGGAGCTGGATGGTATACAACATCCAATCCCCGGGAGGTATGAGATCCTTGCTTTAGGGGGTTGGAGGCCCGCTGGGGTAGCAGCCACACTAGATTGGGCTTAGCGGGATTTGGGATTGCCTGCACCACACCAACTGGCCTTCTTTCCCTCAGGGAAGCATTGCTTCCAAAGGGAAGCATTGTAGCTTGAGGAGGATTTAGGTCTACCTGAGAGGAGCTTGGCAACCTTCTTTTAATCCAGGGGTTTCGCTGCACAAGGAGCTAGCTACACTAGAGGAGTCTCAGGAGTCCAGGACATAAGAGACAATTTCCAACACGCCGCGGGGAAGCTTTAGAACAACACCTGAGGCACGGAAATATAGGAAAATGACAAAACAAAAGACCAAAATGCAATCTCAAACATGCACCAATTCCCAAGAAAGTCTATGAGCCATGTACATAGAAGAAAATACATGCTATATGCCTGAAATATCTGAAATAATACTAACCAAAATTAAGAAGCAACTCCAGGAAGTCTTAAAGTAATTCAAACTAGAAAAAATCTCCCAGGTAAAAGAAGAAGTGATAAAAGAAATGAAGGAGATGCTGAATATATCTAAAGAAGAAACAGTTAAAATAATGGAGAAACTAAGCAAAAAGATAGAATCCCTGGATGAATAATATAAGAAATAAACAGAATATATAAAGCAGATGCAAAGAGACATACAGGAAATCAAAAATTCTATTGAAAGTTTTCAAAGCTGCCTAAATGAATGTAAAGATAGAATCTCAGACCTTGAAGACAAGATTGCAGCCAGTGAACAGGAAAGGAAAGATCTTTTAAAAATAACAAGAAATCAGGAAATAGCAATTCAACACCTGCAAGATGATGCAAAGAAAAACAATGTAATGTTGGATAGGGATAAATAAAAAAAGGGAACAACATAAAGGATATCAAGAGGATATTTACAGAAGTAATAGCTGAAAATTTCCCAAACAAGAGATTGGAAACTGATATCAAGATCAATGAAGCATATAGAACTCCAAATAGCCAGAACCAAAAAATCAAAAACTACACCCAGACATATAATAATCACCATCCCAGAAATTGAACAAAAGAATAGAATATTAAAAGCTGTCAGAGAGAAAAGACAGATCACCTATAAAGGAAAACCTATCAGAATCACAGCAGAGTTCTCAGCACAAACAATAAAGTCAAGAAGAGAATGGGGTAAAGTATTTCAGATCCTAAAGGAAAATGATTTCCAACCTAGACTGATGTACCCTGAAAAACTGTCCTTCAAAATTGATGGAGAATTAAGATACTTCCATGACAAAGAACAGCTTAAGAACTTCATGATCACCAAGCCAACCTGGCAAAGAATACTGAAAGACAGTTTAGATACACTTAAGAAAAAACCACTAAACAAAGCAGACAATTAACCAGAACAGAAAGATAAAGATGCAACAGCAGAAAGATAACATGTCAACAATAAACCAATATATAGCAGTTATAACCATTAATGTAAATGGCCTCAAATCACCAACTTAAAGGAACAGACTGGCAGAATGGATCAAGTAACAAAATCCAACCATATGCTGTCTACAAGAAACCTATCTAACCGAAAAGGATATGCACAGACTGAAAGTCAAAATATGGAAAACAATATTTCATGCAACAGCAACCCCCCCAAAAAAAAGTGGGGGGTAGCTATTCTGTTTGCAGACAATGTGAACTTCAAACCAGTAATGATCAGAAGAGATAAAGAAGGTCACTACATACTGGTTAAGGGAAAACTTCAAGAGGAAGAGATAACTATCTTAAATAAATATGCACCAAATTCCAGAGCACCCAGTTATATAAAACAAGTATTAACAGAAATGAAAAACCAAATTAGCAGTAATGCAATTATAACAGGAGATCTAACACACCATTCACACTAATGGACAGATAAACCAGACAGAAAATCAACAATTGAATCACACCTGTGAACTAATGGATTTGATAGACATACACAGAGTATTCCACCCAACAACAATAGAATACACATTCTTCTCAGCAGTACATCAGTGATTCTCTAAAATAGACCATATATTAACTCACAGAACATATTTAAATAAATGCAAAAGAGTTGAGATTATCCCTTGCATGTTATCTGATCATAGCGATATGAAATTAAAAATTAATGATAAAAGATACTACCAAAATCCCACAAACACATGGAAACTGGATAATATACTCTTTAGTAATCAATGGGTCACAGAGGAAATAAAAGAAGAAATTGAAAATACCTACCAACAAATGAAAACACAAATACAACTTACTGGAATCTGTGAGATACAATGAAATCTGTCTTCAGAGGAAAATTTATTCCACTGAGTTCCCACATCAGGAAAACTGAATGAATACAAATAAATAACCTGATGTTACACCTCACACACCTAGAAAAAGAAGAGCAAGTCAAATCCAAAGCCAAAAGAGTGATGAAATTATAAAAATCAGAGCAGAAATCAATGCCATAGAGACTAAGAAAACAATTCAAAAAATCAATTAATCAGAGTTGGTTCTTTGAAAGAATAAAATAAAATTGATAAGTCCCTAGCCACCCTTATTAAAAAATGGAAGAAAAAGCTCAAATTCATGCAATAAGGAATAAAAAAGGCGAAATCACTACAGACAATATAGAAATACAGAAGATCATTAACACCTATTTCGAAAAGCTCTGCTCTCAAAGTTTGATAACACAGAGGAGATAGACAGATTCTAGAAGCATATGAAGTACCAAAGCTAGGTCAAGAAGATGTAAAACTGCTGAGTAACCCGCTTTCTATTAAGAAAATTGAAAATGTAATTAAGTCCTTACCTACAAAGAAGAGCCCAGGCCCAGACAGATTCACTGCAGAATTCTACAAGAAATACAAAGAAGACTTACTGCCAACATTCCCCAAACTCGTCATTGAAATTGAAGGGGAAGCAATCCTTCCTAAATCATTCCTAGAAGCAAATATAACTCTCGTACCAAAACCTGAGAATGACCCAACTGAAAAAGAGAATTACAGTCCAAACTCCCTAATGAACACAGATGCAAAAATCCTGAATAAAATACTGGCAAATAAGATGCAGCAAATCATCAAGAAGATCATACACCATGATCAAGTGGGATTCATCCCAGGCATGTCTGGATGGTTCAACATATGTAAAACCATAAATGTAATCCACCATATCAATAGAGCCAAAAGTAAGAATCACATGATCATTTCTATAGATGCAGAAAAAGCTTTTGATATGGTCCAACATTTATTTATGATAAGAACCATGCAGAAAAATGGAATAGATAGTCTTAACCTCAATATGATAAAGGCCGTCTATGGCACCCAACAGCCAGTAACATACTAAATAGCCAAAAATTGAAGGCCTTTACTTTAAAATCAGGCACAAGAACAGGATGTCCCTTATCACCGCTCCTATTTAATATAATACTTGTAATACTAGCCAGAGAAATTAGACAAGAGAGAGAAATAAAAGGTGTAAAGATAGGAAAAGAAGAAGTTAAATTATCATTATTTGCAGATGACATGAAGGCCCCCAAAACTCCATTGAAAGACTCCTAGATGTAATAAATAAATTCAGCAGTGTGGCTGGATACAAAATCAATACTCAAAAATAAATATCATTCCTATACACTAACAACAAAATCACATAGCGAGAAATAAGTGAAGCCACACCTTTCACACTAGTAACCAAAAAAATGAAATATTTAGGAATTATTGTCATGAAAGAAGTGAAAGACCTATATAGGGAAAATTATAATACACTGAAAAATGAAACTGAAGATGATCTCAGAAAATGGAAAGACATCCCTTGCTCGTGGATAGGAAGAATAAATATTGTGAAAATGGCCATTCTCCCAAAACTGCTATACAGATTCAATGCAATCCCGATAAAAATACCATCAACATACCTCATAGATCTCGAGAAATCACTTCTAAAATTCATATGGTGCTAGAATGACCTAGAATAGCAAGGACAGTTCTAAACAGCAAAGGCAAGGCAGGAGGCATCAAAATCCCT